AAAATCGAAGGTCAAACCGCAAAAAGTAAATTTGAGCCTTAAAAATTTTTAGACTTTTCCTTAAAAAAATCATTACGATCTATGTGAGAGTCTAGACTACATTCATCGACTCTTAATAACAAATTTTAGAATGAACAGTCGCTTCGTATGGTCAACAGAATCAATCTTTTGCCACAGAATTGGGACAACTTAAATATAAAAATCAACATATTGCTTCGCTATGCTGAAAATATGTTGAAGTTGCAGATGCGAAATCTTTTAAAACGGATATATGATGATTTGCAGTCCATGGTACCTTATTTAAACAAAAAGACGTAATTCGCATCCGCAGAGAAGTTAGACAAATATTAGTTTTTTAACCAGGCGACATCATGACTTCTTTAACAAGTGTCGAGTGAAACGCCAACTCCTCGCAACTGACCATGGATGCATTTCAAGTAATTTGGCAAATCTTGTACTAAGGAACTTCTGGCTCGACTGGAATGAGATTTGATTGAGCGGATCAGTTGAGCAATCTCCTTTTTTTATAAAAAAATTTTTTATTAAACTTTATTTAAAAAAATTCGATTCTATAATTTTTTTTTGTAAACTTTTGTTTGGGCGACCATTGCCTCATCAGAAAGCAAATGATCAGGGTTGATGCTCTAGCTTTGGATCTGGATATTAAACATTGCTCTCCGCAGCACCTTAATATTGTGTGCAAAACACTTTTCATCCTTTGAGGACAGAAAAAAGTAGCTTTATTTGCCTCAAATTTATTGATTCTTTTTCACTTTGATTGTAATTTTTGAGCTTTGATATTGTGATATTTTGGCCTTCCTCATTCGTTGGAGAATCTGTTTATGATTTCATATCATCCAAACTATTTTCAAGTGTTTATAAACATGTCTCAAGAACCTATTGAGCTTTATCTCCCCAGGACAGGCGAAGTTGTACTTTGCATACACAAGCAAAAAAATGACCGATAACGATACTGGGAAAAACTGAATGAGTGAAACATTGAGCCAACAAAAATTCTTCATTGAGGCACGACAATTATGAGACTATAAAATTGCAAAGTGACGCATTAAGCCAATTATGACGCATTAGCAGCACTAGTCAATTTGAAAAAAAAAAATTACCAACTAATAAGCCTCAATTTATAGAGCGGATGCATTTTCACTAGCATACGAAAAAACTCAAAAAACATCCGACCCTGCCCAGTCTCCTTCCCTACCTCTACGCTACAGATCCATGATACCTTGAAGCTAAAAAGCTACTTGTATTATAATAGTCTGAATGATAAAAATGAACACTTTCAAAATGAGCACTAATATTTGCGACTTATGTTGGAAAAAAAGAGAGTTCAAACTGTAACACAAGATTTGCTTGTTAAAAAAAGGATATACATTTTGGTCTTCAAATGACACAAAACTAATTGACCCATCCGATTGACACTTTTTTGATAAAACTAGCACATTTTATAGAAAATCAATTTTTTATTCCACTGAACGGTAAGAACTTAATTCCACTTTCGAAACAAAATCAATCACGTTTTTTCACGCTATTTACACTGTTTTTCACAAGCGTATGTGGCTTTCTATTTAAGCAAACAAAACAATTAAACTTTAAAATATCAAAACAGCGAAAAATCGAATTGAACGTGAAGATATTTTGAGAATTTTCCTAAACAAAAACAACCTTACAAGTGTCTTGTCTTCACAGAAAAATAATAATAACTCGGGGTTTCCACAAAAATCGGATTTGACTGTGAATGCTAGTTCTGTGAAACATTTAGTACAGAGGTCACTAGCCAGAACACGACAAAAATCAGCTCTATAATTAGCAACTAGCGCATGACTAACAACTACGGTGCTTCAAATAGATCGCTGAACGTAAAAAGAGCTTCCTAAAACATGTATTAAAACAAAGACATTCAATGCAATCGTGAAGATAAGCTGAACTCATCTATCAAGGGTTTCCATTTCATCAAACGACGCTATATATCAAAGACCAAAATAATTTGCGCAGATAAAATTTGCGCAGATTTGCTATCCTATATTGTCCAGCAACAGCATCCTAAAAAACAAAGAAATCAACACATATCGATTAATAAAAGGACTTGAGCAACTAACAGTACAACAGTACCCCCGCATTAGGGTTGAGAAATGAGGTTCTGTTAATTTTTTATCTATTTTTTTTTAAAAAAAATTAATTATAAACGCCATATCTCGATAACTAAAGAATTTGAGTAGTCATACTTAGATCAAGATTTGCAACATCTGAGTATATCTACACAGCACCCCACTATAGGGCTGAGAACTTCAAGTTCGATTAATATTTGTTTTACACTTACGTTTTTCCCAAAAAAAAACAAAAAAATCACAAATACTCCATACCTGGAAAACAAAAGAATTTGAGCAATCATACTTGTACGCCAGACTTACGAACCCTGAGTGTATCCTGACAGTATCAACTCAAGGGTAGAGAAATTCAAACTCGGTTAGTTTTTTTTATATTCAAGTTTGTCTTAAAAGAAAATTAAAAAATCATGAAAAACGCCATATGTCGAAAGCCATTAAGATTTTGGCAATCAAACTTCGACGCCCGATTTACAAAACCTGAATGTACCCTAACAGCACCACATTATAGGCTTGACAATATCAGGTTCGATTAGTTTTTTTTAAATACATGTTTTTCGAAAAACAATTGGAAAAAAAATCATAAAAAACGCCATATCTCGAAAACCAAACGGATTTGAGCTGTCATACTTGGACGCCAGACTTGCAACCCCTGAAAGCACCCTGGCAGCAGCCCACAATAGGGTTAAGACCTTGAAATTTAGTTGAACTAGCGCGTCAATCGCACCACCGGTAAAGCCATAAGAATTTGAGTAATCATAGTTGGACGCTAGATTTGTAGCCCTCGAAGGTACACTGATTGCAACCCACTTTCGGGTTGAGAAATTCAAGTTCGGTTAGTTTTTTTATATCTTATTTTTTTGGAAAAAAAGAAAAAATCAGAAAAACGCCTTATCTCGAAAAGCATAAGGATTTGAGCAGTCATACTTTGACGCTAGATTTGCAGCTCTGGAGTGTACCCCGATAAGATCCCACTATAGGGTTGAGAAAATCAAGTTCGGTTAGCTTTTTTATATCAAAGTTTTTTGAAAAAAAAACTTGAAAAGTCATAAAAAAACGCCCTATATCGAAAACCATAAGCATTTGAGCAGTCAAACTCGGACGCGAGATTTGCAGGCCTTGATGGTACCCTGATAGCACCCCACTATAGGGTTGAGAAAATCAAGTTCGGTTAGCTTTTTTATATCTAGTTCTTTGAAAAAAAAAATGAAAAAATCATAAAAAACGCCATATCTCGAAAACCGTAAAGATTTCAGCAGTCATACTTGGACGCTAGATTTGCAGTCAATGAGTGTGCCCTGATAGCACCCCACTATGGTGGTGCGAAACTCGGAACTATTTAAGTAAACTGTGAAACAAAAACTGTGATAGTTTTCCGTTGCGAATAAAGGAAAAAATTTAAAGAGTTTAAAAAATTCGAGCTCCATCAGATTTTGAAACGTTGACTTGAGTTAACTTTTCAACCCTTTCATGTTTTGGCCTTTTAAAAGACCAGCATAAAGACTTCTTAAACATGTGCTAAAAGAAATTTCTTAAGAGTTTTAATATATGATAAAGCTTAAACGTGCAAAAAATAATACGTTAAAAACTTTAAACATGCAAAGATAGAGTTATCTTAAACAAGTCAACATACGGACTTCTTAAACATTTTTCACATGAAACGCCAATTAAATAATAGATAGATAGATAGATAAAGTGTGAAACAAAAATTTGATAGTTTTATGTTGCGAATTTAGGAAAAAAAAGTAGAGTTAAAGCATTTGCGCTCCAACAGATTTTTGAACGTCGACTTGGGTAAATATTCCAATGATTTGGCTCTCAACAGACCAATATAGCGACTTCTTAAACGTGTGCTAAAAGATATTTCTTAATTATTACAATATACGATATAGCTTAAACGTGCAATAATTCTTTCGTTAAGCATGCCAAAAAAACATCGTTGAAAAAGCTTAAACATGTCAACATAGGGACTTCTTAAACATGCGTCAAGTGAAACGCAAATTAAATAATTTAAGATAGATAGACAGATAGATAACAAAAGTAGAAATAAGCCATAAAATTTGCGAAACTACGGCTACGTCTGAGATTCGAACCTGCGACCTAGAGATTAAGAGTCTCGCACACTAACCAATGAGCTACAGGGTACCAAATGTTAGCCACATATAAAGCAGAGAACAGATGCTAAGCAATTTCCAATGCTTCAGTGACATTTCCAAATAAGTGAATATTCTTATTTGCGAGTTAGGTTAGAAATAAAAGAAGGTTCGTAATAATACTCTAAGCTGAGCGCTAGAGTAATAAGCTAAAGCATGGCTGTCTGGTGGCTAAGGCAAGGTTTAAAAATAATAATGGCTTCACTTCAGTTTTTGAAGAGGAATCTACTATTTGAGTTTTATTTTTTGTTGCTTCTGAATATAGGTTTGTTCTGCCATTGATATTTATGTCAACTTAACGAATGACGATTACCGAAAAAACTTCTTTGATTTGGCGGCAAATCTAGTCAATGTTGCCATCATTGTTAATTTCATTGAGTTCTTTATAGTGAGACTTAAATGAAATGAGAGGGAAAATCTTAAATCAAAGGATAGAAGGATAATTATGAAACAATTATTGACTGAGCGACAAAATTTTGTACAAATAAATTTTACGGTTTAGGAAAAGTGGAATCACTATAATTCAGATATTTGAAACTCGTCTTTAAATTGTGACAGAAGTTCAAGGGCTGAAGTATCGCCATTCACTTCAACTCGTCCTTGGAAATAGAGAGAGGTTTTTGATATTTGGCCATTCAATAGCTTCAGCAAGTCGGAAATCCCGACTCTCACTTCCACGTCGCAACTCGCTCGCTCGTAGTGGCTCATCTCGTCATGTCCGTAAATTTTAACGCCTACGGTAATCTAGTACCAAAATTCGTGAACTGTATAAGCAGTTGTCTGAAATAGTGCTTCCGGGAAACAGATGGAACATGAACTTTTTACCAATAGTCTCTGTCATTGAATAATCTAGAAGTTTCTCAATTTTGTCTTTGAATGTTTGTATCAAGCTGCGCGATACTTCGATCTCAGTTTCCTCAATGCCATCTGATTGTGGCAAGTAAAAATCAGCCGCTGTAGATATAAGCCCTTCAAAACCACCAAGTTTCCCAAAAATAGGTCCCAACAGCTCCTGGACATTTTGAACTGCCGTGGGCGGCGGAGTCAATTCGGTAATTTGAGAGAGCTCAACATTGTGTATAGACAGACCCCATTTCATAATCTCCTCCTGCAGTTCTTTTTTAATGAAAGCGTTTGGGTCACTTTTGTTTCTGCGCAGCTTCTCCATGGAATAAAGGCTCACAACTTGGTACATGACTGACTGAGCAAGAGTCCGAATGGTGTGGTTGATATTTTGCAAGGACAGAGTGGCCACAACAGCATCTTGAATGGAGTACATAATTGTGGCTCGAAGTGAAACTGATCCGCCATCTTGAAGCATAACAACCATTGGTGGCACATGAAAAGCCTTCACTCGGAGATCTATCTTGTTTAGCTTATCCATTAATGGAATAACGAAAGTAATTCCTGCGCCCCGTACATCCCAAAACCTTCCAAGTCGGAAGTGAATCCCACGCTCCTGGTCACCAATTGATTTCACTGCAAATAGGAGCGAGAAAGGAGCTGTCAGCATGACAAGGAGAAACCCTATCGCAGTAAGAAAATATGTAACAACATAGTTTACGTCGTTTTTATTACCTCGTTGCTCAGGCTCGTCACTTTCGACATTTATAAGTGTTGTATATTTAGAGCGATCCGGCATTACTCCACCTTTCGATTTCTTTAACTCAAATGACGGTTTATCAAAACAGCGAAAAATCGAATTGAACGCGAAGATATTTTGAGAATTTTCCTAAACAAAAACAACCTTACAAGTGTCTTTTCTTCACAGAAAAATAATAATAACTCGGGGTTTCCACAAAAATCGGATTTGACTGTGAATGCTAGTTCTGTGAAACATTTAGTACAGAGGACACTAGCCAGAACACGACAAAAATCAGCTCTATAATTAGCAACTAGCGCATGACTAACAACTACGGTGCTTCAAATAGATCGCTGAACGTAAAAAGAGCTTCCTAAAACATGTATTAAAACAAAGACATTCAATGCAATCGTGAAGATAAGCTGAACTCATCTATCAAGGGTTACCATTTCATCAAACGACGCTATATATCAAAGACCAAAATGATTTGCGCAGATAAAAATTGCGCAGATTTGCTATCCTATATTGTCCAGCAAAAGCATCCTAAAAAACAAAGAAATCAACACATATCGATTACTAAAATGACTTGAGCAACTAACAGTACAACAGTACCCCCGCATTTGGGTTGAGAACTTGAGGTTCTGTTAGTTTTTTATCTAATTTTTTTTTAAAAAATCATTAGAAACGCCATATCTCGATAACTAAAGAATTTGAGCAGTCAGTCATACTTAGATCAAGATTTGCAACAACTGATTATACCTAGACAGCACCCCACTACAGGGCTGAGAACTTCAAGTTCGATTAATATTTGTTTTACACTTACGTTTTTCGCAAAAAAAAAAACAAAAAATCAGAAAAACTCCATACCTGAAAAAACAAAAGAAGTTGAGCAATCATACTTGTACGCCAGACTTACGAACCCTGAGTGTATCCTAACAGTATGCCACTCAAGGGTAGAGAAATTTATGTTCTGTTAGTTTTTTTATATTCAAGTTTTTCTAAAAAGAAAATTAAAAAATCATGAAAAACGCCATGTCGAAAGCCATTAAGATTTTGGCAATCAAACTTCGACGCCAGATTTACAAAACCTGAATGTACCCTAACAGCACCACATTATAGGCTTGACAATATCAGGTTCGATTAGTTTTTTTTATATACATGTTTTTCGAAAAAAAATTGGAAAAAAATCATAAAAAACGCCATATCTCGAAAACCAAACGGATTTGAGCTGTCATACTTGGACGCCAGACTTGCAACCCCTGAAAGCACCCTGGCAGCAGCCCACAATAGGGCTAAGACCTTGAAATTTAGTTGAACTAGCGCGTCAATCGCACCACCGGTAAAGCCATAAGAATTTGAGTAATCATAGTTGGACGCTAGATTTGTAGCCCTCGAAGGTACACTGATTGCAACCCACTTTCGGGTTGAGAAATTCAAGTTCGGTTAGTTTTTTTATATCTTAATTTTTTGGAAAAAAAGAAAAAATCATAAAAACGCCATATCTCGAAAAGCATAAGGATTTGAGCAGTCATACTTTGACGCTAGATTTGCAGCTCTGGAGTGTACCCCGATAAGATCCCACTATAGGGTTGAGAAAATCAAGTTCGGTTACCTTTTTTATATCTAGTTCTTTGAAGAAAAAAAATGAAAAAATCATAAAAAACGCCATATCTCGAAAACCGTAAAGATTTCAGCAGTCATACTTGGACGCTAGATTTGCAGTCAATGAGTGTGCCCTGATAGCACCCCACTATGGTGGTGCGAAACTCGGAACTATTTAAGTAAACTGTGAAACAAAAACTGTGATAGTTTTCCGTTGCGAATAAAGGAAAAAATTTAAAGAGTTTAAAAAATTCGAGCTCCATCAGGTTTTGAAACGTTGACTTGAGTTAACTTTTCAACCCTTTCATGTTTTGGCCTTTTAACAGAGCAGCATAAAGACTTCTTAAACATGTGCTAAAAGAAATTTCTTAAGAGTTTTAATATATGATAAAGCTTAAACGTGCAAAAAATAATACGTTGAAAACTTTAAACATGCAAAGATAGAGTTATCTTAAACATGTCAACATAAGGACTTCTTAAACATGTTTCACATGAAACGCCAATTAAATAATAGATAGATAGATAGATAGATAAAGTGTGAAACAAAAATTTGATAGTTTTATGTTGCGAATTTAGGGAAAAAAAGTAGAGTTAAAGCATTTGCGCTCCAACAGATTTTTGAACGTCGACTTGGGTAATTATTCCAATGATTTGGCTCTTAACAGACCAATATAGCGACTTCTTAAACGTGTGCTAAAAGATATTTCTTAATTATTACAATATACGATATAGCTTAAACGTGCAATAATTCTTTCGTTAAGCATGCCAAAAAAACAACGTTGAAAAAGCTTAAACATGTCAACATAGGGACTTCTTAAACATGCGTCAAGTGAAATGCAAATTAAATAATTTAAGATAGATAGACAGATAGATAAGAAAAGTAGAAATAAGCCATAAAATTTGCGAAACTACGGGTACGTCTGAGATTCGAACCTGCGACCTAGAGATTAAGAGTCTCGCACACTAACCAATGAGCTACAGGGAACCAAATGTTAGCCACATATAAAGCAGAGAACAGATGCTAAGCAATTTCCAATGCTTCAGTGACATTTCCAAATAAGTGAACATTCTTATTTGCGAGTTAGGTTAGAAATAAAAAAAGGTTCGTAATAATACTCTAAGCTGAGCGCTAGAGTAATAAGCTAAAGAATGGCTGTCTGGTGGCTAAGGCAAGGTTTAAAAATAATAATAGCTTCACTTCAGTTTTTGAAGAGGAATCTACTATTTGAGTTTTATTTTTTGTTTCTTCTGAATATAGGTTTGTTCTGCCATTGATACTTATGTCAACTTAACGAATGACGATTACCGAAAAAACTTCTTTGATTTGGCGGCAAATCTAGTCAATGCTGCCATCATTGTTAATTTCATTGAGTTCTTTATAGTGAGACTTAAATGAAATGAGAGGGAAAATCTTAAATCAAAGGATAGAAGGATAATTATGAAACAATTATTGACTGAGCGACAAATTTTTGTACAAATAAATTTTGTGGTTTAGGAAAAGTGGAATCACTATAATTCAGATATTTGAAACTCGTCTTTAAATTGTGACAGAAGTTCAAGGGCTGAAGTATCGCCATTTACTTCAACTCGTCCTTGGAAATAGAGAGAGGTTTTTGATATTTGGCCATTCAATAGCTTCAGCAAGTCGGAAATCCCGACTTTCACTTACACGTCGCAACTCGCTCGCTCGTAGTGGCTCATCTTGCCATGTCCGTAAATTTTAACGCCTACGGGAGAGTTTTTACAATCTAGCACCAAAATTCGTGAACTGTCTAAGCAGTTGTCTGAAATAGTGCTTCCGGGAAACAGATGGAACATGAACTTTTTACCAATAGTCTCTGTCATTGAATAATCTAGAAGTTTCTCAATTTTGTCTTTGAATGTTTGTATCAAGCTGCGCGATACTTCGATCTCAGTTTCCTCAATGCCATCTGATTGTGGCAAGTAAAAATCAGCCGCTGTAGATATAAGCCCTTCAAAACCACCAAGTTGACCAAAAATAGGTCCCAACTGCTCCTGGACATTTTGAACTGCCGTGGGCGGCGGAGTCAATCCGGTAATTTGAGAGAGCTCAACATTGTGTATAGACAGACCCCATTGCATAATCTCCTCCTGCAGTTATTTTTTAATGAAAGCGTTTGGGTCACTTTTGTTTCTGCGCAGCTTCTCCATGGAATAAAGGCTCACAACTTGGTACATGACTGACTGAGCAAGAGTCCGAATGGTGTGGTTGATATTTTGCAAGGACAGAGTGGCCACAACTGCATCTTGCATGAAGTACATAATTGTGGCTCGAAGTGAAACTGATCCGCCATCTTGAAGCATAACAAGCATTGGTGGCACATGAAAAGCCTTCACTCGGAGATCTATCTTGTTTAGCTTATCCATTAATGGAATAACGAAAGTAATTTCTGGGCCCCGTACATCCCAAAACCTTCCAAGTCGAAAGTGAATCCCACGCTCCTGGTCACCAATTGATTTCACTGCAAATAGGAGCGAGAAAGGAGCTGTCAGCATGACAAGGAGAAACCCTATCGCAGTAAGAAAATATGTAACAACATAGTTTACGTCGTTTTTATTACCTCGTTGCTCAGGCTCGTCACTTTCGACATTTATAAGTGTTGTATATTTAGAGCGATCCGGCATTACTCCACCGTTCGATTTCTTTAACTCAAATGACGGTTTATCAAAACAGCGAAAAATCGAATTGAACGCGAAGATATTTTGAGAATTTTCCTAAACAAAAACAACCTTACAAGTGTCTTTTCTTCACAGAAAAATAATAATAACTCGGGGTTTCCACAAAAATCGGATTTGACTGTGAATGCTAGTTCTGTGAAACATTTAGTACAAAGGACACTAGCCAGAACACGACAAAAATCAGCTCTATAATTAGCAACTAGCGCATGACTAACAACTACGGTGCTTCAAATAGATCGCTGAACGTAAAAAGAGCTTCCTAAAACATGTATTAAAACAAAGACATTCAATGCAATCGTGAAGATAAGCTGAACTCATCTATCAAGGGTTACCATTTCATCAAACGACGCTATATATCAAAGACCAAAATGATTTGCGCAGATAAAAATTGCGCAGATTTGCTATCCTAAATTGTCCAGCAAAAGCATCCTAAAAAACAAAGAAATCAACACATATCGATTACTAAAATGACTTGAGCAACTAACAGTACAACAGTACCCCCGCATTTGGGTTGAGAACTTGAGGTTCTGTTAGTTTTTTATCTAATTTTTTTGAAAAAATCATTAGAAACGCCATATCTCGATAACTAAAGATTTTGAGCAGTCAGTCATACTTAGATCAAGATTTGCAACAACTGATTATACCTAGACAGCACCCCACTATAGGGCTGAGAACTTCAAGTTCGATTAATATTTGTTTTACACTAACGTTTTTCGCAAAAAAAAACAAAAAATCAGAAATACTCCATACCTGGAAAACAAAAGAAGTTGAGCAATCATACTTGTACGCCAGACTTACGAACCCTGAGTGTATCCTAACAGTATGCCACTCAAGGGTAGAGAAATTCAAACTCGGTTAGTTTTTTTTATATTCAAGTTTGTCTTAAAAGAAAATTAAAAAATCATGAAAAACGCCATATGTCGAAAGCCATTAAGATTTTGGCAATCAAACTTCGACGCCAGATTTACAAAACCTGAATGTACCCTAACAGCACCACAATATAGGCTTGACAATATCAGGTTCGATTAGTTTTTTTTATATACATGTTTTTCGAAAAAAAATTGGAAAAAAAATCATAAAAAACGCCATATCTCGAAAACCAAACGGATTTGAGCTGTCATACTTGGACGCCAGACTTGCAACCCCTGAAAGCACCCTGGCAGCAGCCCACAATAGGGTTAAGACCTTGAAATTTAGTTGAACTAGCGCGTCAATCACACCACCGGTAAAACCATAAGAATTTGAGTAATCATAGTTGGACGCTAGATTTGTAGCCCCCGAAGGTACACTGATTGCACCCCACTTTCGGGTTGAGAAATTCAAGTTCGGTTAGTTTTTTTATATCTTAATTTTTTGGAAAAAAAAGAAAAAATCATAAAAACGCCATGTCTCGAAAACCATAAGGATTTTAGCAGTCATATTTTGACGCTAGATTTGCAGCTCTGGAGTGTACCCCGATAAGATCCCACTATAGGGTTGAGAAAATCAAGTTCGGTTAGCTTTTTTATATCAAAGTTTTTTGAAAAAAAAAAAAAACTTGAAAAGTCATAAAAAAACGCCCTATATCGAAAACCATAAGGATTTGAGCAGTCAAACTCGGACGCGAGATTTGCAGGCCTTGAGGGTACCCTGATAGCACCCCACTATAGGGTTGAGAAATACAACTTTAGTTTTTTATATCTAGTTCTTTGAAGAAAAAAAAATGAAAAAATCATAAAAAACACCATATCTCGAAAACCGTAAAGATTTGAGCAGTCATACTTGGACGCTAGATTTTCAGTCAATGAGTGTGCCCTGATAGCACCCCACTATGGTGGTGCGAAACTCGGAACTATTTAAGTAAACTGTGAAACAAAAACTATGATAGTTTTCCGTTGCGAATAAAGGAAAAAATTTAAAGAGTTTAAAAAATTCGAGCTCCATCAGGTTTTGAAACGTTGACTTGAGTTAACTTTTCAACCCTTTCATGTTTTGGCCTTTTAACAGACCAGCATAAAGACTTCTTAAACATGTGCTAAAAGAAATTTCTTAAGAGTTTTAATATATGATAAAGCTTAATTGTGCAAAAAATAATACGTTGAAAACTTTAAACATGCAAAGATAGAGTTATCTTAAACATGTCAACATAAGGACTTCTTAAACATGTTTCACATGAAACGCCAATTAAATAATAGATAGATACATAAAGTGTGAAACAAAAATTTGATAGTTTTATGTTGCGAATTTAGGGAAAAAAAGTAGAGTTAAAGCATTTGCGCTCCAACAGATTTTTGAACGTCGACTTGGGTAAATATTCCAATGATTTGGCTCTTAACAGACCAATATAGCGACTTCTTAAACGTGTGCTAAAAGATATTTCTTAATTATTACAATATACGATTTAGCTTAAACGTGCAATAATTCTTTCGTTAAGCATGCCAAAAAAACAACGTTGAAAAAGCTTAAACATGTCAACATAGGGACTTCTTAAACATGCGTCAAGTGAAACGCAAATTAAATAATTTAAGATAGATAGACAGATAGATAAGAAAAGTAGAAATAAGCCATAAAATTTGCGAAACTACGGCTACGTCTGAGATTCAAACCTGCGACCTAGACATTAAGAGTCTCGCACACTAACCAATGAGCTACGGAAGCTTACAGGGAACCAAATATTAGCCACATATAAAGCAGAGAACAGATGCTAAGCAATTTCCAATGCTTCAGTGACATTTCCAAATAAGTGAACATTCTTATTTGTGAGTTAGGTTAGAAATAAAAGAAGGTTCGTAATAATACTCTAAGCTGAGCGCTAGAGTAATAAGCTAAAGCATGGCTGTCTGGTGGCTAAGGCAAGGTTTAAAAATAATAATGGCTTCACTTCAGTTTTTGACGAGGAATCTACTATTTGAGTTTTATTTTTTGTTCCTTCTGAATATAGGTTTGTTCTGCCATTGATACTTATGTCAACTTAACGAATGACGATTACCGAAAAAACTTCTTTGATTTGGCGGCAAATCTAGTCAATGTTGCCATCATTGTTAATTTCATTGAGTTCTTTATAGTTAAACTTAAATGAAATGAGAGGGAAAATCTTAAATTAAAGGATAGAAGGATAATTATGAAACAATTATTGACTGAGCGACAAATTTTTGTACAAATAAATTTTGTGGTTTAGGAAAAGTGGAATCACTATAATTCAGATATTTGAAACTCGTCTTTAAATTGTGACAGAAGTTCAAGGGCTGAAGTATCGCCATTTACTTCAACTCGTCCTTGGAAATAGAGAGAGGTTTTTGATATTTGGCCATTCAATAGCTTCAGCAAGTCGGAAATCCCGACTTTCACTTCCACGTCGCAACTCGCTCGCTCGTAGTGGCTCATCTTGCCATGTCCGTAAATTTTAACGCCTACGGGAGAGTTTTTACAATCTAGCACCAAAATTCGTGAACTGTCTAAGCAGTTGTCTGAAATAGTGCTTCCGGGAAACAGATGGAACATGAACTTTTTACCAATAGTCTCTGTCATTGAATAATCTAGAAGTTTCTCAATTTTGTCTTTGAATGTCTGTATCAAGCTGCGCGATACTTCGATCTCAGTTTCCTCAATGCCATCTGATTGTGGCAAGTAAAAATCAGCCGCTGTAGATATAAGCCCTTCAAAACCACCAAGTTGCCCAAAAATAGGTCCCAACTGCTCCTGGACATTTTGAACTGCCGTGGGCGGCGGAGTCAATTCGGTAATTTGAGAGAGCTCAACATTGTGTATAGACAGACCCCATTGCATAATCTCCTCCTGCAGTTCTTTTTTAATGAAAGCGTTTGGGTCACTTTTGTTTCTGCGCAGCTTCTCCATGGAATAAAGGCTCACAACTTGGTACATGACTGACTGAGCAAGAGTCCGAATGGTGTGGTTGATATTTTGCAAGGACAGAGTGGCCACAACTGCATCTTGAATGGAGTACATAATTGTGGCTCCAAGTGAAACTGATCCGCCATCTTGAAGCATAACAAGCATTGGTGGCACATGAAAAGCCTTCACTCGGAGATCTATCTTGTTTAGCTTATCCATTAATGGAATAACGAAAGTAATTCCTGGGCCCCGTACATCCCAAAACCTTCCAAGTCGGAAGTGAATCCCACGCTCCTGGTCACCAATTGATTTCACTGCAAATAGGAGCGAGAAAGGAGCTGTCAGCATGACAAGGAGAAACCCTATCGCAGTAAGAAAATATGTAACAACATAGTTTACGTCGTTTTTATTACCTCGTCGCTCAGGCTCGTCACTTTCGACATTTATAAGTGTTGTATATTTAGAGCGATCCGGCATTACTCCACCTTTCGATTTCTTTAACTCAAATGACGATTTATACTTGTTTATACTTTCAAACGAAAACGCCGAAGAGTAATCCATTTTAATCTGAAATTACAAAGTCACTTCAGACGGACCTTTGTAACGCGCAGTTCTAGACACATGCATACCCTGACTTCGTGAATTCATCCAGTCAGACACAAATTTGATTTAGAGCCTCTTTTTAGCGCCACGACAGCTCTACAGGACCGATCGGAAGCGACCAGGCGGTATGACCCTCACTCCATGGGCTGTCGGTAAGAAGCTCTTGTGTGACGTAACAGTATAGTAGATTCAAAGCGCAGCAGGTCTTAGCACGGTAAATTTTGAGCAGGTCTTAGCACACGGAGCAAGCTTTGTAAGTGTAACATTCGCGCGGAAGTACATAGCAATGGGCGCGTCCCTCGCTGTAATTCTGGCAAACTTATGGCTGAAAGAATACGAATATGCTCTACGACAACAGATACCGGTGGGAACGGGGGTACAGCAATTTAATGACAAAAACGGCTTGTGCCCATGTTGCAGCAGGAAAGTCACATATAGATCAAAGGGGGTTGAATGCGAGAGTTGCCGAAACTGGTATCATCTAAAATGCGGAAAAATATCTGATGACGTATACGCATCAATAACCGAGATAGTCTGGTACTGTGAAAGCTGCTGCCGAGCTAAGAACAAGGAGAAGGATACTCCCCAGGTGAAATTGTTCCTCAGGTATGTGGATGACATTGTTAGAACAGTCAGAGGGGAGCCGAGTTGTCTTCTCGATGCCGCCAATTCTCTTCATCCAAATTTGCAGTTCACTCTAGAGAAAACTAATTCGGAGGGGAATTTGCCGTTCCTGGATTTGAACATAAATGTATCGCAGGATAGGCGTGTAACTTGCAGTTGGTATCAAAAACCAACCGATACAGGGACTATACTGAACTATAGAAGCTGCGCCCCAACTCAGTATAAGCGTAGTGTTATCCAAGGCACTGTACACAGGGTTTTTAGGAGTACATCTAGCTGGGAGCAATTTGATAAGGCTATGGAAACTAATAGGGCGCAATGGCTGACAAATCAGTACCCTGAAAATTGGTCCGCAAAGGTGGCTTCAGACGCCTTGTGCAAAATCATCGAGGGTAAAGGCAAGCCCCTGGATAGTGACAGGGGTTTGTCATTTCAATCACCAAAGGATGAGAAGCCCCCAATGCTGATGGTGCAATATAGAGGTAACCAGAGCCAATATTTTGCTAACAGGTTACGAAAATTAACGAACGTTCAAGTGGTTTTCACCACAAGAAAACTACAATCATGTTTACCATCACTGAAGTCAGCATTTTCTAATGACCTCAAGTCAAGAGTGGTTTATAAACTGTCATGTAGTGGATGCACTTCCACCTATGTCGGACAAACTGTTCGACATTTGACCACTAGAATTGAGGAACATAAGAAAGCAGACTCACCGGTAGGCCTCCACCTTCAGCAATGCCAACTTGAGGGAAATAGCGCAGATCTTAGTTGGAAAATTATAGATAGGTCAAACAACCAAACAAAATTGCTAACACTAGAGGCAATACACATCAGGAAAGAGAAACCGGGCTTGAACACGCGCGATGAGTTTAGGAGCAGGGAGTTAACACTGAAAATTTAGTCCCAAAATATTTTTGGTTTTTTATTCAAAACGTACATGTCTAAATCGAAATTATGACTCAGAAACTTCCAGACAAATTAATTTTAAAATGTTTAATTAATTTTAGAGGTTAAAAGTATTTTAATCTTAATAGTAATTTAGAGGTCAACTGTGATTGGCTAATTTTTTATCATGATGGTTTAGAACCAAATTGTATGTGATTTATTGTAAATAACATTTGTAAATTGATGTTTTATCGTCATTTAGAGTAGTTTATTGTAAAAATCCTGACGATGCACATAGTTGCGAAAACGTTTGAAATTTACTTTTTAGCAAAAATTTCTTCGAAGTACATATCGACGTAAAATAAAGCTAGGTTCTAAAAACAACTGGCTAGCGTCTAAACACAGCTCTACATGCTTTTCACCGTCTCTACCAAAGCCAGTTCTTTTGGTGGTCTTTCTAACATCGGGTCGACAAAAAAGTTACTGTTTCCGGCTTCGATCAAAACGCTCTAATTAACTTAATTATATGCAAAATAGTGACCTCATGGCTGGTTCTCAGTATCCCCGAACCACGAGGTCACTCCTAAAAACAGGGCTACTAATTGTTTACTATATTAAACGTATTAAATCAAGAAGTAAAAGACAAACCTTTCATACCGTATTGTTACAGTAATGTAAATGAGCTCCTGCGTCAGTGGTATGCATGGTTATGGGACAAAATAAACAACAATGTACACAAGGTTACATCACACAGATCAACTCTCCCCCCGTGGGTGACACCAAGTACGTCTCACATGCTAAAAGCAGTACAAACATTAAAACGGCGTATTGATCGGCAAAACAACCCTACTTTAAACAAACCTACTTTAAGCCTTATCCTAAAACACAAAAAACTGGAAAAAAATCTTCAAATAGCATTGACTGAAGATCAAGCAATTTACGAAGAAACAGTAACAAGCAGTAGACGATTCAGTGACCTACAAAAATACTTGAACAAAATAAGTAGTTCCAGGCAATATCCCCAAAAAATGTTTTACAAGGAAAAATCCACTAGAGATGACACCCAAAAAGCTACATTTTTTAACGAATTCTTCATCAGTGTATATCAAAAGTAATCAAGTCCTAACCCTCTCACACGAAGTGCGAACTGTTCTCCTACAGAAAGATCTGTACACAAATACACATTGAAGAAACCAAAAAAATCTTCCTGAAACTCTGTCAAAAAGGCTCTATCAACATTCATTAACAAGCGGCTCTTCCCGGCCTAATGGAAAACAAGTCAAGTGGCCCCAAGTTTTAAAGAAAAGAACAAGGCGTCAGTTGAGTGCTACTGCCCAATTAGCCTTTCATGCTCCTCCTCGAAGGTCTTCGAAAAAATTATCTTTGATAATATATACCCCAAAGTTCAACCTTTCTTGGAAACGCACAATACGGTTTCCGGCAAAAAAAGTCAGCAGTACTTCAAATGGTACAATTTTTGAGCAAAGTATTTGAACTCTACGATGACAAAAATGTTCAAACACTATCAGACCTTTATCTAGATTCTAAAGCCTTTGATAAAGTTCCTCATAGTCTCCTAATCGCTAAACTACGAAACATAGGTCTATGCATTCAAATACAAGACATAATACAAGACTATCCAACAGATAGAATGCAGTTTGTGAAAATCAATAAAAAATTATCAACTTTGAAAGATGTAACATTCGCCCGGAAGATACATATCGACGGAAGACAAAACTAAGTCTTAAGACGACTGGCTAACGTCTAAACAGAGCTTTGCATGCTTTTCACCGTCTCTACCAAGCCAGTACTTCTCGGTGGTCTTTCTAACATCGGGTCGACAAAAACGTTACTGCTTTCGGCTTCGGTCAAAACACTCAAATTAACTAGATTACATGCAGAAATAGTGAGCTCATGGCTGGGTCTCAGTATCCCCAGACCACGAGGTCACTCCTAAAAACAGGGCTACTACTTATTATATTACTATTGTTTTTGTTCAGTAGATAAAAATCATCATCTCCATCGAAGAGGGATCAACCCTTTCCCCCAACTCCTAGCTTCTCATCCTTATCAAAATGAATCTAGATGTTAATTAAATTCAAATCAGGACATGACAAGAAGCTAAAAGTCTATATAACAGGCTAAAAGTTTCAGTCCCGAAACCCTTCCGGATTCTTGAATCCACTGAATCAAGCTCGCTAATCTTGACTTCCTCTTAATCCGGAAGGCTGTCCGCCACCCTTCACCGTTGTCTGCAACGGCCCTGCAACTATTGTAGCGACACAATAGTTGCAACTCGGAGTGTTCTCTGTTACTCTGTAACTCGTTGTCGTTCTCCAATCTCTATTTCGTAGTTGTTGTTAGCGCAGCTAATGTTGTTCTCTTTTTCTTTCTTGTTTTTGCCAAAATGGCCGTTTCTGACGTTTCTCAGAAATATGACGTCAGAATTCGAATTTTTGAAATGTTAAAATACCAGAATATTCTAGGCCTCACAGTCTGGCCAATCGTTCCAATAACGTTCTTAGTTCTTAAAAATCGCACAATACGGTTTCCGGCAAAAAAGGTCAGCAGTACTTCAAATGGTACAATTTTTGAGCAAAGTATTTGAACTCAACGATGACAAAAATGTTCAAACACTATCAGTCCTTTATCTAGATTCTAAAGCCTTTGATAAAGTTCCTCATAGTCTCCTAATCGCTAAACTACGAAACATAGGTCTATGCATTCAAATACAAGACATAATACAAGACTATCCAACAGATAGAATGCAGTTTGTGAAAATCAATAAATTTTAGATGTGCAAGGCTCGCTGCTAAAAATTCGACTTCTGCAGAGATTGCATTTTTCACATTCTGGTCGAATGTCACATACTCCCCGGACAGTCCGGTCAATGTCCTCATTGAATCACGCAATGTTCGTAAAATAGATACAATGTCATCGAACAGAATTTACAAAATGCACGAAATTACTTTTATCCACGTCACATCGACTCACTGCAGAATATAAACGGCATCATACTACATCACTATAGCCTTCAAATTCTCTCATTATTCTGCACATTGAGGATATGACTTAAGATAAAACATATTTTCTGACTTCCAATGTCAATGTCCCGATTAAAACTCTTCTCTTAGATTTAAAAAGTGTTGGCTTGCAGGACAGTCCTGCCAACCAACAAGCTAAAATTATCCTACTACGCCTTTTCCTTCGGAAATCTTGCTTGTTATTGTCCTGAATACTAAAACTAAGAAACTCTGTGGTTAGAAAGAACAATGAAACAATCTCCCTCTTCGAGAGATTACTCAAGCCTTCCATGTCACCACAAAGTGATCAGTTCTCCTAGCTGATTAAAAACAGTCATGCAGGCTGGAATATTTAAATATACTCCTTCACTTAAGCCTTCCTAAATAAATAGTGAGTGAGTGTCTCTAAAGCCACTTCAACTAAA